TCAAAGTTAGCTCTTTGCATCTGAAGAAGTGAGGTTCTTACCCACGAAAGCTTATGCTCCCAGTACTTCTGTTAGTCTCAAAGGTGCCACAGGACCCTCTGTTGCTTTTTACAGATTCAGACTAACACGGCTACCCCTCAAATAAAACTATTTATAGTGCATGGAACCAATATCATATCCTGGTTTTATTGTCCTTCAGAAGGAATGTACAATTTCCTCTCTGGTAAATCTACACATGATACAAGAAAACATACACAGGTCAGGAAGAATGCAATGGTGAGCCTCAAGGGACCAGGAACAAAAAGACATTAGCCCAGATTTCCATAAAAGTCTTTTCCATGGCTCTAGACCAGGGGTCGGCAACGTTTCAGAAGTGGTGTGCTGAGTCTTCATTTATTCACTCTAATTTAAGGTTTTGCGTGCCAGTAATACATTAACGTTTTTAAGAAGGTCTCTTTCTATAAGTCTATAATAAATAACTAAACTATTGTTTTTAAAATGTTCAAGAAGCTTCATTTAAAATTAAATTAAAATGCAGAGCCCCCCGGACCAGTGGCCAGAACCTGGGCAGTGTGAGTGCCACTGAAAATCAGCTCGTTATGCTGCCTTTGGGTTGCCCTAGGTTGCCTACCCCTGCTCTAGACTAAGATGCCTGTAGAGCACTGGTTCCCAAGCGTCAGTACTGATACCTTAAGCTTTTTTCCATTGGAATTATTGGCTGGCTCTCTTCCCACCCGCAGAAGTTACCTAACATAAGTTATGAAACACTGAAACATGGAATTTAAGGGACTGTCTATTGAGGTTCCTCCCCAAATCAAATTTATCGTCTTGGAAAAAGTCACCATCCCATAGATTCTGGGGCCACACACACAAAAAATTAGGATATTATACTCTATGTGTGTGCAGTTTTGTTCATATGTTTCTAAAGCAAACAAAGAGACAACCAAACACAAAACTACAACCACATATAGGAGGCAGGAGTATCCTCTAGTCTAGTGGAAAAATCTTCTGTCCAAGAACTTAAGTCATACCTCTTAGTTTGTACTGCTCTCCACTGGCAGCATTAACGGTGAAGGTATGAGAGTCTTCATCGCTGGGTGAAATTACAGCTCCAGCTAGCTGCAAGGTGCCTCTGGGCTTTTGATTTCTAGACTGTTCATTCACAAAGTACTCCAGTAGGCCAGCTTCATTGTTTAAAACAAAAAATCTGTGATTGTGATAAAAAGTCCATTTATAAAATAAAACTAACATACATCTTTTTAATATAAATAATCATCACCCAACCAAGACTATCTCCACACAAGTTTGGGGAAAATTAGTTTTTGTTTGAATCGGACCATTACACATCAAATGGGTTTATGTAAATACCACAATTTGCCAACACAACTTCACCAATTATACTAACTATAGCTTAAAACTGCACAAGATTAGACTCATACAAAGATTCTTTAAAGATCAAACCTTTGCATGGTGTACGTGAACTGTCACTAAGTAAATTAAAAGTACATTTATGATACTTCAGGAATGCAGTCTTGGAAGACTTAGCACTGTGCATATGAGAAACTTTAAGACAAAGCAATACCAGCCACAAAGATAGGAGAGTGTAATTTACATCACTGGACCAATGCTAGTTAGGAATAGACATACTCACAACTTATGCAGTGCACAATAGAAGGTATTTCAACAGGTGTCCTTAGCTAAACGCTCTGCCACTACTGTTGTGCAACATACTGCGTTAGACAGCTTGTGCCTCCAACCACAACGTTGGATGTATTGTTATGGTGCAACATAAAGTTTGAGAAAGCGTTGCTGAATACCCCCTTACACTCATACATCACAACAACAAAAGGCCATTTAAATGCTTAGTAGTCCTTCTCTGCTTTTCATTAGTCTCTTAGTCATATACTAAAACAAGATGTTATCCCTACTATGGATGTAGCAGGTCCATCTCTTATCTACTTGTTAGTTTAATCCATATTAAATCTGAAAAATACATATTTTTTTCTCCCATTATTTTAATTGCTTAGCAGAAAAAAACTGCCTGAAAAACATACTGATTTAGATATCAATCAATCTTATTAACAAAATTCAAAAAAGACTTACCGATATTGCCAGCCAGTGACGAGATTGGTATATTTCATTAAATAGCCAGAAATATTTTCCATGTGATCACTGTTAGAAAAACAAGACAAAAACAGTCAGATAAGACCAAATAAACTGACAATTAAAACCGTTAAAGTAAAAGAGCTAGATCTTCATTTATGCAGTCTAAAGTCCACTTTCAGCAAACTGCTCAAAATTTATTTTAAGAAGGAGAATTTGTTTTTGCAGGCTTTCTGCAGAATAAAGGAATTTTAAGCAGACTTATTGGACTGTCAGTAAAATTAAAGAACGAAAATTTCCAATATTGTTGAAGCAATGAAAGACAGTCTGGATCCAGGATATAAAATAGACACTTCTGGACACATTTATGATGCTTCGATATTAAGTAGTGAATATACTATTTATGACTTCTGCCTGCCTACCCACCCCTCTTCTCTCCAGGGGGGTAGTTTTGAGTTTCTACACACAATTAATTTTCACCACCTTAAAAAAGACCCTTATTAATCTCACTAATTGGAAAAAAAATCTGTCATTAGGCACTACTAATTAAGTAAATAAAGTTCTATTTATGTTGAATTTCCAGAACCATCAACAACTACACTAAAACTGCCATATTGCAAATAGGAGAAGATGCGCTGAGAAATCCAAGAGACAGTTTCGGATCACATTAAGAAATACTTTAAAGTATTAAAATGTCTTCTCCATTTGTTTTATAACAATTTGGCACAAAAGATGAACAAATAACTTCCCTTCTGGGGTCCAAATCTGTAAGAAGCTCAGCACTATCTCCCAGTGAAGACAAGAGGCACTGTGGGCTGTCAGTACTTAGCAATATTAAGCTCCATATACAGAACTATTAGTATATATTTTCAATTAATAAATATTTGCCAAAATAGTTACTCACTCTGACTGTCCTAGTTAGGGATGGTCTTCTTAGGAGACCAGCTCAGAGTTGTATTACAGTAGTTCCTGGAGGCCCCCCAGTGCTAGGCACCATGCACACACAGTGAAATATAGTCACTGCCTGGAAGAGGTTACAATCCAAATAGACAAGACAAAGGGTGGAAGAAGGTCTCAATTTTACAATGGGGGAAACTCAGGTATAGAAAGATTAAGCGACTTGCCTACCATCACAGAGGAAATATGCAGCAGAACCAGGAACTGAACCCAGGTCTCATAAGACTGCAATCATTGGCTGTAATGACAATTGTTTACTTTTATAAAGAATTATAAAGATAATTCTCTATAAATATTTTCTTCATAGTTAAACCTTAAATTAAATCTCAAACCTCTGCCTTATTATAGTAGTTGATGGTTCTTACATTTCCCGGAATTCAGAATATATGGGAACACTTTACCCAGGTAACTTACTGATAGGTAAACAAGTTTTTCATCTTTACTTAAAAAAAACATATGCTGGCAGAATATGGCTACTGAAGTCAAGGGATTAATGTAAAATCCATTCAATAACAAAGACTGCTAGAGCAGTAAGTATCAGGCCACAGTGGAAAATCTTTGTCTGCATGCATAGATCAGTCGGTTGCCTACAATTTGTTTAGAAAAGGTTTCAGTAACATGACAATGTTAAACTGTTTATATATGTGAAATTCTTACTATTTAAACATTATGCAGAAAAATTACACCCAATTACATCTTAAAGTCTTTTTTATGACATACCTAATAGGACAATCCAAAGTAACATGTTAAATCATTATCCCAGTAAGAGGTCTTGCTGACTTTGTCTCTATGAAGGTATTACGTTTATGAATAATACTCTAACTTTTTTTTTTTGCGCAGAGGACATCAAAATAAGTGGCACTAATTCTTTCACCCAATTATAGTACATAAAAATGGCACATCTGAAGCACAGAGCTTTAAAGAAAAAAAGTAAGGCAGTTTAATTTTATGTAGCAACTGGCTTGTGACCTATAAAACGTAAGTGGCTACAGTTGCATGTGATCATACAACAATACAAAACTAGGTCTATATAGGGCTGAGAAGAGGCTCCTAGTCTACCAGACAATCTCTTTCCTAAAGACATCATGATTTTGCTAAAGCAGTTGGACAATTACACACAAAATGTAGGGACTGTGTTGGATGACATGTATCTCTGCAACTTTTAATAAATGTGATGACCTATTTTTCCCCTTTGCTAGTCTCCATCAACGTTCTTTCCTTTTAAAACTATGCCCAGAGAGCATGTAAATAACTGACAAAACATAAAGGACTGAAACATTCATCTTAGAGAGAGAACATGAGGAAGAGAATTGCCTAACAATATTGAAATCTACCAACATTTCTCATGTCAAAAAGTATTCTATAGAAACCCAGTGACTGGTTCCTTTCCCAACTCCATCAGTTCTGCACAGAAATATGTCATTCAAGCCTCCTCTTCATTAGAGAATTGCAGTGCAGCAACTTAAACAGGTGTGGCAGAACCAATGCAAGTTGCAACAGGGGAGCGTGACCACATTAGCTCCATCCTGTTTCAAACAGTGCACCATGTCCACACATAGTCCTACATTTGAGGATCTACACAAGTCATGAGGCACAGGGGCTATGCCACGCTGCACCCTGACGCTGGAAGAATCCTGCCACACCAGTTCCAGACTTCAAGGCCTGGTATATAATAAGAGTTCCACGGTCTTTGGATGACACTGCTAGAGAGAGGGGGTGTGTGTGTTCATTTATTCAGTCTTTTCAAGTTTAAAACGGTTTATTCCCTCCCCTCCATTCTTTCATAGCTCCAACAACAATTCCATTCACCAGTGTTTTCTTCTAAGAGGGAGAGACAGGTATGCGCTAGGTCTGGAGGGAAGACATCTTTTTGAGTGCCTCATTATGGCCTATAGTAAGTTCCTCATCTTCCCTTCCCCAGGTAATGCCGTAAAGGATCCGGAGGATGAATCACTCAGAGGAGTGAGGAGAAAAATAGGTGCTGGAGAACCAGGGGGAGTTAAGTACATATACGTGAGTTAAGTAGAAGAGCGGGTTGCCTGTCTATATAACCGCTAACTAAGGATCCTTTTGTGTTTTCTATTTTAAACTGCTCAGGAGTACAGAGATGCTGCTAGGGCAGTGAACTGACTGTCGGGACAACTTCCAGTAAAGTCAGTGCATTGAGGTATGTGCCGGACACGTAACCGACCACTGCTTGTGTCCGTTCTATATAGCAAGAGGATCCCTGTGGACAAAGTCTACATGTTTTAGAAAATGTTACTGAAGATGTATTTTTCATTATACCGTTGTGGCCTCCTATGCTGCTGCCCTGAAGGTTGGGGCAGTGAACCTGGAGGGTGGAGGAAGCAATGGGCAGAACTTAGACCTGCTGAGTACTGCCTCTGTCGCTCTTGAGCCTGCACACAGCCACTAGGCCAGTGCTCTGAGCTGCTGAAGCGGTCACTGACGCATGGGTACGGGCAGTGTAGGATTGCACTGAAGACTAATTGCTGTTCTGCAGCCCATATTCTAGAAATCGATTGGGTTGTCTCAGTCTAGTTCCTAATGGGTAGATGTCCATATGACACAAACATGCCAGAAACCAGTAGAAGAATTACAGTGCTTTGACAGGTTGGGAAAATTAATTAGGTTCCCACTTCTGTTTCCTCCAGACTGGGATGCAGTAGTTGGGTGAGGATGGTAGGAGGAACCTCGTGGTACTACTGCAACTGCCATTCCTGCTTGTGTGGATAAACAAGACTTTAGTGCATGTGTAGCGCACTGGACTGACGGCACCAAATTCCATTGCTCCTCCCCCATACAATCTATTTAGAAGCAGTTCACTCGGCCTCTGAGAAATTCCTCACTTTAATCATGAGGAAACATGCCCTAAATATAAGAGAGTTAGTCCATGATTCATTCTAAGCTAGAACTAAACTGCAGACAAGATCAAAACAGAACAGAGTGGGTTGGGCATGCTAATTAGAGCACAACAATCTCCTCCACTCTTTCCACTGCCCCCCATTTAAAAACAGAGCTTACTAGTTCATATCAGCTGTTACCCGCAGAATTACCCTTTTCTTCTGTGTGGCAGTCAGCATTAAAGTAATATTGCAAAGAATCTCCAGTAAGATGGCAGACTATTTATAGTGGCTCAAACAGTACTACAGCTCTAAAACAAAGCCATTCGAGGAACGGAATCATGCAGTCATATATTCTTAGGTCCCTTCATTTTCGGTTTTTATTTTATTTTTCCCAAGAATTTATGGGCGTTTATTACACGACAACAAAAACAGATGAAAATTGGTGGAAAAAAACTTAATTTTCCGGGTAAATATGGGGGGTTATTTTAGTGGATGGAAGGACAGGGGGAAGTATTCAGTAGAGTAATACTTTGATTAATTGAATTCAATATGGTTTGCTGCAGAACTAAAACTCAAAACACAGTGCCACCTTTGAGTTTAAGAAAACAATATATCTCTATCCCCAAATAAAACTTTTCATTTGACTAAACAGTTTATTGTTGTAGACTTAAAACTATTAGCCTATAAATATTTATATTTAATAGTTGGGCCATAGCATTTGCAGCGCATACACTCAACTTCATGCTTTCCTGTTTGTTTGTTTTTTAAACTTTCAATTACTTCCTTGTGTTCTGAAATGTATTCTGATACAGATTTTTGATTTCTTTCCATTGTAGTGTGTCAGACCTTTAAACCATTATCTGCTAAGAGTGTGAATGTGTACGCAGTGGGCGTGAGATTCATCAGTACATTTAGAACTTGCGTGCCTGTTTGTTTGTTGTGTCTATCTTCTAGATTAATACATAGCCTTACTTCACCAGGCAGCTTTGCACATACACACAGACTAGTGTATTATCGTAATACATATATCTCATGCAATGTATTGTATCTTCCTAATAAAACAAGGTTTTTTTTATATATTTGAATGATACAAAAATAGGGTGAAAATCAGAAAAAAAAATACTTTTTGTAAAACCCGGGATTTTTTCAGTAAAAACCTGTTTAAACTGAAAACCAAGGGGCTTATATATTCTGAATACAGAAATTTTTTTAAGGGAGAAACACTAACGGAACAAACTGTCTGAAAATGCTTCAGAACTGCTACCA